CTTCCCTGGGGTCCCTAGATGTCCCACAAAAAATTTGGGCCCGATCGGTTCAGCCGTTTTGACGTTTATTGGATACAAACAAACAAACAAACAGACAAACACCAAGACAAGCCAAATTTATATATAGATTGTTCTTATAAGTGTTATCATTATTAATAAAATGAAATTCTAAAAACTAATGAAACTAATAATTGTCCTAGCTGAAACCCATTCGTAAAAATGTGAGATCACTTCCTCAATAGTCCCAAAATATGAATCCACAGGGATCTTCATAATTAAGATAAGATTCTAAGTGTATACACATGATGATATACATCATCCTGCTGACAAGGATATTATATTAAAAAAACACATCTTTACTCTTCACAGATACCACAGCCCTTGTAAACCTTTTTGCCCATCGTTTCCTCTTATTTTAATTAAAACTAAGTAATTTTTTATTTGATGACTAAAAATATGTTTTCCCACCAAGTTTATAGAAATATTTGAATTTTTAAAGCCCTATGCAGAATTGCAATTTGGTCGTCTTTTATATTCAAGTAACAATGTCGTACTAGCTTTTAATGTGGACTTGGTTATTTTCAAATAAAAAAAATATTCTAAAATAATTGCAGATCGATCACTTTCTTTTACTGCAGCTCTAAATAATTGAAAATAATTATTAAATTGTAAGGGTAAGGGGGGGGGGTATGTTATCTGCTCATGGGTATCTTCTCTGTCTTATGCGGAATACTTCCACTAACGATTCAAAAACTATTGAAGGTGTAAAAAACTTCCTTAATTTATTTTTTAGAAAATAATGTAATAAGTTTGTGTTCATCGGTATGCGATTTTTGGACGCCACCCTCGGCCCCTCATAGCAATTTTGTACATGAACTCTAATTTCGCAAAATTTTTATTATTTATTTTCTATTATTTAAGGTTAGTTTTCTATTATTTAAGGTTAGGTTAGGTTAAGATAATATCATGGCCGAGCGCTACGGCTAGGACAGGCTAGGGGGCCGGGCGCTGCGGCCACATGACTAACTATATCCATGTGTTCAAACGAGATCCATATATAAAATTGTAAAGAAAAGGGGATCATGGTACGGGTAAGGGGGTCCAAGAATCGTATACTAGGATTGACCCTACAACCCTTAAAAGTGTTGTGTGAATGTGATCATACTTAATCTGATCCAAAATGTGGAAGATACCGTCGAATAGTACACTTTATTTCTGGGAGATTCTTCATGTGCTTCTCTCAACAAAAAATATGCAAGTCGAAGTCACATACGCTATATAACCACAAAAGCAAATTACAGTAAAAAACAAAACATAATTATACAATTTATGCTGGGCCAGAATAAGCTTTCAACGATCATGTAGTAAGTCTGGCATTGTCGGCAGGTCTCTTGAAATTACGCTTCAGCGCAAATTCAATATTTAAAATCCTCATTGATTTTCCATTTTGGAGGGATACTTTTTAGAATTGGCTTTTTAAAAATTATTCAAAAAATGTAACAAAATTTCTACGTAAAACTAATCAAATGTTCAGGAACATATATTTCTCATTAGAAATTTGTCAATAAATCAATGTTATGAATCAATTGTTTCGTTTTTACCTTATATTGATTTTCTTATTCTTTCTGAATTTGGTGGCAGATTTCTTCAAATTCTTCAAATTTCGTCTTTTCATTAAAAATTCCAGGAAATCTCCAGAGAATGGTTTTGAACATTGAGACATTTCAGAAACCAATACATGATTAGGATTTCTTATTTTGATGATAAGAGTTAGTTTCAATTTTCTCAACCTGTTCCTAAACAACTAACTAGTTTACTTTTCTGTAACATTTTTTTGTGGTCGTCATTAGATAATTTAGATAAAACAGATTCTCAAAATCATTCCTTCAAAATGGACAATCTATTTTGATTTTTAAAGATTGAATTTGCTTTCTTGCAATAATACTGCAATCTCAGTTCAACTACCATACAATATACATTGCCGGTCACTCTCTTTTAAGGTTACAGTACAGTAGTCTGTCTGCTGGTCGTTTGTTTGTATCCAATAAAGGTCGACCAGCTGAAATGATCGACTCGCCAAATTCTGTGCATGGCAAATCATATAATCCAAGGGAAGGTTTGAGTCTTTCTCACAAACTCTATTTTTCTAATCTCTATATCTTTGCAGCCAAATGTCGTTTTAGATCTTAGATTTTTTTATCTATAGAT